AATGGTGGTTTTTGTTACAGTCTAATAATGGCCGTGGATCAGGACACACACCCCTTCCTCCTCCCACTCCCTGGTACAAATTGGCCCTCGGGCACAGAGCAAATCCATTTTGCGAATCATAGAGATTCCGGGAAGGCCCAGTGAAAGTAATGAAACTACTTGGGGAATAAAATGCTACCTGACCAGAACACAGCAGTGAAGACAGGATCTAGCCTTTCTTGGAATGGTAGGTTACTATTTTTATTGCTCCTTCTAACCTTTTCATGAAGAAAGAAGTGTATTAATCACCCAGGGGGCAGTTTTATGTTCCAGAGGCATAAACTTAGATGTTCTCCCCATGGCTGAGAACGTAACACAGTTCTTGTTACCCAGTATCAGCAGTGGCAGCTGCCTGGAAAGGAGTCATCAGAAGTGCCACTGAGGTGGAAGGAAGGTTTCCACATCCCACATTTAGAGGAGGAAAGAATACTTTGATGTTCCACAATGTCAGGTAAGGTAACCCTGAAACGAACATGGCACTTGAGAAGAAATGGGTTACTTTTTCACCCTGCGTGAGCTCTAGAGTTGTGTGAAGCAATGACCAGAGTACGCAAGGTATCCAATCCAGATTGTGACTTTTCTGTGTTATTTAATGTGCACATAGATCCCATCCTCCTGCATGAATAGATCCTGCCAGTCCTGTTCAGATACAAACCTGGAACATGGACAGTCATAAGCTGGGCAGCTGTAAATGTTATCAGTGGTATGCCAAGGGGAAGAATGTCATGTTATCTACCTGACTAAAAGCTGCACAATGTGGAATTAAAAAAAAAATAGGGTGGGGTTTTTACCTCCTCTAGCTATTAGCTCAGTGGAAAACAGTGTGCAACCTGTTGTCAAGGCAAGATCTTTCAGCTGTAGCGGTTTGGGAACCTTCACAGCCACATTCCAGCCTGTAACCTCACCCTGGTCTTCCAGCCATTCGTTCCCCACTGCTGTTCTCTTAATCAAAAATGGAAGTGTGTGTTAACTTCCAAAAGAGAGGATTGATCTTGCAGAACTTAAGCCAATGAATGTTACTTGTAGAATGGGGTTAACTGAAGTCAGTGGCATCGTTTGTGTACATTGGATTTGAGGGGATCCAGCGCTAAGGGCAACGCATAGGCTTCAGCTACTTCCTGGCCTATGCAATTAACATTGATTTAAGTCCCCTCAGGGCCAGATCCTATAGTGTGTGCTTAGCACACAGATGGGCTGCATTGACTTCCACAGAAGTAGAGGAACTGAACACATCACTGGATGCATTCAAGTTTGCGCTTGGCAAGAAGGGACTCCAAGTACTTAAAGCTGGTGTGATAGTGCACTCACGACTATTGTCTTGTTAGATGGCTGAATATTGTACCACACGCACTGGCCAAATTAATCTTCTAAAGCTCTGATTCTGTGGGGATTGGTGCAGAAAACCCTAAAAATACCTGCTGGGTATTGCGTGGTACCCCCATTAACTCAGTGGAGCACTACTTGGGTAAAGAAGTTACAGTCATACTGAGCTGGAGTAAACTGACAGTCTCCAGAAGATGTAGAGGATTTAAGCGTGTTGAAACACCAAATATCAACATGAAGATATTTCAGCCTCAGGAGTTTTTAATGGAAGAAAGTAGCTTAATTACTCAGTATATTTTGCAACTTTAGCTGAAAGTTTAACATCACAAAATGACATATTGCTATGCAGCTTTAAGAATCACACAATTGTGTTCAATCATTTCCCATGTTTTTCAAGTCTACTGTTCATTAAAAACTTTTCTCCTGTTTGCAGTTTCCAGTTTTCAGACGGATGACACAACCAGTGCATAGCTTAATGTTCATTCTCAGGAGTCATATAATTAATAAATAATCGTATCACATACATAGAATTTTACAGCTACTCTTAAAATGGTTTTACAGTTCTATTAAATATATAGATAAAATAATCACTGCTATATAAAAAAATCATTTTAAAACAGCTGAACTCTCAAGCTTTGCATAAAATTCTGTAGACACATTCAATACAATCTAGAAACTCAATAAAAATACATTTTAGAGCTCAATCCATCAAAAATATTCATGGCATGGAAAAGTGATTGTCATTTTTCTACTGTACTCTGTGCCTGCCCTATCTTTGCACTGATCATTTCCTAAAATTTGGCAAAGGCTATTTTCAATTCAGTTTGTAGATTATGTTACTGCTTAACTCATTTCTTCAGCTGTAAGAGACATCTGCTCCATAAACATTCACTGGGGTTCTCTCTTTAATAACGTACCTTTGCACTTTCTATAAAATCACAATGAAACACTTTGCAGTTTGTTACATGACTACAGTAACATCCAACCATCCTACTATAGTTGCCTCTCGGTCTTTAATGGTGCTTCTTTGAACACCAAACACCCTTTATCCAGTGATTCTCAAGCACTTCCTGACACTTACACTTCCCAGTACGCTGCTACCCACACATTTGCTCAACAACAAAGGGTTTTAGAAACGTCCTTAATAGCTGGTACCCTTGTGTATCTGAATTCTGCTGCTAAAGCAAAATACCAAATATGATCAGTTCAAACTTAGCATTTAAAAAAAAAAAAAAAAAAGGAAAAAATTCAGGAAAAACTTCCTTATTCAAACAGTGCACATATCTGTTGTACCACGGTTAGATGACAGATTGCCCACCAGCCTTTAAACCCTGGGCTACCTCAAGCCAGTCCTCTAGCCAGCAAGTTAAAACAGGCTTCGCCGTAGCAAATGCTTCACAATGAGGCTTTTAAAATGTAAGTTCAGAATAGGACACGAAGTCTAACGACAAGCAGTGTTTTCAGAATAGCCCCCTTGCACTGAGGGCTTGGCTCTTGCACCATGGAAGAAGAGATGCAGGCTTACAAGTCAGTTTAAGTGGGGGAAGCTGCTGCTTAGGCAGATGTGATTTTCTGTGGTTGCAAGTAATGGCAGAATTCCTGGAGAGTTCAGTCTCTTTTCATGCACAGTTGACCATACCAGTACAATCACTCCTAACTCTTTACCCTGGATCTTCTTACTCATGGAATGGCTGAGTAATGTAGAATGCTTCTGTTACAGCAGAAACACAGCCAAGCCAACCCAAATATGGAAAGAAACTTAATACCAAGTATCATGGACTAATTTAGGGTGGTTTTTTCCATCTATTTTTCATGGAAGAAACAATCTCCATCTCTTAATGGGATAGGGTGGAAGACATACATCAACAGGAAGCAGGAAAGGTTTCAGCTTCCTCTTGACTGAAAGAGGTTCAGAATTTTATCTTCAATGTTTAAGACCACTTGCCCTGCACTGCTACTGTTGAATTCTAACTGCAGCTTGGAAGAAAAAGCCCAGGGAAAGAAAAAGCTTACAAAGAATGAAGTGTGATGGACAGTTAGGATTACCCCAGCAGATACCATGTCTACAGGCATATTTTAAATACCTGCAAATAAATTGCTATATATTCTGGTGTGTCCTGATCCCAGATATTATTTCAGCTGAAAACTGATCCAGGGCAGAGATACATCTTATGCTAAAACAAGGTATGTAAAACTTATAGCCCATGTGTTGTAACTTTCACTCAGTGTAAATTACAAACCCCCTAATTTTATGAAGCACATTGCAGTCAACCGTACAAATTTTTAGGTGGAAGCAGCAACACAATGTAGTCTCAAAAAGCATATTAAGAAACTAAAACTGTGTTGATGAAAAATAGTGACTTCACTAAAAGTCACCGAAAGAAAAGTTACTGCTATCAAATTGAATTAGAAGACTTCTCTTTTGTGCTGTAACGCATGGGTGCACCTTGTCTGGCAAAAATCCTAAAGCAAATATCCTAAAGTGATCACTGATGTGGACACAAATTAGAGGATGCAGAAGTGGCTCAACTGTGTCTCTGGACAAGTCACAGCAGTCTTCAGTTGCACTAGAAGCTGGATACTGGCTGTTAACATTTCTCTGCATTTAGTTCTTACACCTGTCATTTCTTTCTCTATTGATTTGGGCACTTCAAGGTTATTTCTAATGCTTTTACCATGCACTTGTGCCGTAACAGTGGCCTCAGCAAATTAGGTTACCTATTATTTTTTGTACCTTCAAAAAAGAGAAATCTTCAGAGTACTTAAAGTACCTCTAGCAGTGAGGTACTAAAAAAAAAAACCAAACACAAACAACCTGGTATCTGTTCCTGATAAAATTATTATGCTTCTTGAACATCTTTTCAAAGAAGGCCACCACCAGTAATGTACAAAAAGTGTATTTCTTCAGGAATTCTCTAGACAAGTTTCTGGGCCAAGATTTCCCTTACAGTGACTCCTAAGAAGCAGCTAGCATGTATGTTCTTCACAACTCTCCACAGCCAGTTTAATCCTGCAAATTAAACATAGCAAAAGGTGCAGGATAAAAATTAATTTCAATCCTAAAAAAAAAAAATACTACCCTCAACCTGATTTTGTTGCTCCACTGGATTGCCATTGGAATTGCAATCAATCCCTGGGATCAGCATGTTCCACCACCTGCATCTCTGCTCTGGTTCCAGCTCTCAAAGAATTCCATGGAAAACATTTTCTAGCCTTGTCCTTGCAGGTGGGCCAGATTCATGGGCAAGTCGACACCACCCCTCTGCCACAGCTGTTGGGCCCTACTGAAGTAAATGAAGCCAGAAGAATCATTTTTGAAGACTAGAGCTCTGAATTGTCCATATTTCTACTGATAATTATCTGGTTTTATTTAGCATCTTATAAAGCAAGGCACAAATGTACAAAATCGCATCTACCAAATCAGGTCACTTTTACATATATTTACACAATTATCATAATATAAAATGTGCTCAGACACTCTCATAGCACAACAGTAGAGGAATGGAGGACAATCTGATAATAAACGCACATACCAGGTCCTACATTTCTGTTTGTGCTTCACCTGAAGGAACACAGTCATATGCAGATACACAAAGCAATCCAGCCACTGTGCTTTATTTTTCCACACCTCACAGAGATCAAACTTTGTTGCTGAGAAGCTGTGGAAGGAGTAAAAGGCAGTAGACCAGCACCCAGAAGAAAATGATGAAGTAGAATAGCTCTGGCTGCTCAACAATTGTAATCTCATGAGTTGGTGCTGGAGTCTCACTTGCTTCCAAGACCTTTTTCTTCCTGAAAACAGGAGAGAATTTGATAAGAGGCAGGAAAAAGAAAAATAAAAACAAACCTTCACTGTTAATATTTACTGTAAAGATCTAAAAGACAGCAGTTTAATGAACCATTTCAATCTGGTCAGTTGCAGTCCAAGCTAGACTAAGAGGTGCATAATGGGCTTCAGCAGTGTGTTCCCTTAGGAGCCAATGTACATAGCAATTAATCCCCTGAAAACTCTGGGCAGATTTTCAGGTAGTTTAAATACTTGCCATTACAGTACGGTCATTTGATGTAAGCCGATTTCCATCAGTCAAAAAGATGCCCTTTTATATTCAGAACAGCAAACATAGCTCTGGGCAACACATACCACACTTTCTCAATTTTACTTATACACTGTAGTTGACTTGATGTACTTTCCCCAAATCATCAACTTTCAGAACTTCTCGTGTCAGACACCTGACCAACAAACAGAAGAAGCCCAAGACTTCCAGAAACCAACTAGCACTAGGGGTTTTGCAGGACAACTCAAAAATGCAAACTTTCCAATAATCCCAGCTGCGGTTCATAAGGGCAAAGCCCTATGGACTCTGCCAGCATCACTGAGCACTCACAAAGACCAGAAAAGGCCTTATTTAAAAAGGCACAAGATGGCATGCTCATTTTAGAATTTTATCATACTATATGAATCTGGTAGACTTTTTTTTAACCTCCTTTTGAAGAAAACTGGTGTTTGGCCTGTTATAATGAGTCCTTTTCCTGGCCCGGGGTATCCTACTTGCTCAGATGCGACACTGGAGACATACCAGAGTATTACGTAAAGCTTGCTCAGTATCAGCAGTCTGCAAACAGGCATAACTCTGACAGCTATTCATGTATTGTTTAACAGAAGTGTAAGTTAGACCAGGACACTGGATCCCCATAATATTTTGTGTGTTTTGTGCATTTAAATGCAACCATCATTTTAACTAGATGTCCTGGGAGGTACTATTCAGTATCTACTGAGAGGGAATCCTTGATTCTTACAATCAAGGATTGTAAGAATCAAAGCAATCCTTGATTCTTACAGATATGTAGATTCTAATACCAAAGGGATACACAATCTGCTTTCAGGATCCATCACCCTAAATCTAAACTAAACACAGGTGTGAACTATAAAAACTCAAGGGTGCTTTAACAAAGGCCAGAACTCCACTGAAGTATCGTCTTTTCCTAGCACTGACCACAGTGAACATTGTCTTAATAGTCTTCCAGACCTAGAAAGAGTCATCACTGCCAGAGAGCCTCATATTTGAAGTCCTCTCGCTCTTGGTCTGAAATATTAACCATGAGGGGAAAGTTCTCACAGTCCTGCTCAGGCCCCTGAATCTTCCAAGTCACAAAAAAGCACTTCAGTCAAGGGTGAGACTGAGCAGCGAAGACGTTCTATCTTACACCTATGGCAAATATGGACTCTGAGCCATTACACAAGACATCCAGGCAGTCTCTACCATTACAGTTAATTTTCATTTCCCGTTGTAACTTTGTTAGAATTACCTAGGAGTTATGGACTCCTTGCAGAAGGCTTGGTCTGAATAAGAATGACTCACCTGACGATTAGTGGATTTTCACCCACATCTCTCATCTCCTGCTTGTTTACACCATAGGTTTCCTTAGACAAAACAGGAATAGATTATATTAAAAAAAAAAATTCAGCATCTCACGAAGATGGCAATTGTGTGTATTTTATGCAGAGTATGTCTAATGTTTGCTCAAATAAAATGAAAGTGTGCTTATAAATTTATTCCCTGCCAGCACATCCACCACTGCAGTCTGGTACACGCACACAAAGGGAAAAAAGTTGTGAAAAAAGATGATTTTTCTGCTTTCAACTGCTTTCATTCAGTTGAATAAAGCTCCCCTCATTGATAGATATTTCTAGTAGCTGTGACAGCACTGCAAAACTAAAGCATCCGTGTGAAACCTCAGCGTCACTGAACATTGTTGGTGGCATTTCTTTAGAACTCCAAGATGGTCAGAATATTATTTTGTGCTGAAAAGAGCCACATTCCTATCTTTGCTCAGTGCGCCCAGACTGCTGATCCTGTCCCTTCTTTCTGACTTAAAAAATAAAATTCCAGGGCTCAGTTGCATAGTGTGCTCTCAAGAAACCAATATGAATTCCATCTGCCTTTTAAGGATGCAATGTTTCACATTACAACTAGAATTCTTTTAGGGTTAGCTGCTGCTATTGAGATGATGGGTACACCGCTACTACGAAGGAGAGGGAAAGAGCCCAACCTTTCATGAGAAGTGCACTTCAAGAGACACGCAGCATTTCTGCAGGGCTGTGACCAGGACACCAACATACACACAGAGAACACACAAAGAGCATCAGACGAAGACGGCTTCAAAGAAGCGATTGAGCCACCACCCCTGGAGGTGTTTAAAAGTCATGCAGAGGTGGTGCTTAGGGACACGGTTCGCTGGTGGACTTGGCAGTGCTGGGTTAACAGTTGGACTCAATGATCTTAAGGGTCTTTTCCAACCTAAATGATTCTCTATAATTCTGTGAAATGTTGCAACTATATAGTTATGACAAATAAGCCTCAAAGTTACAATACATTTAATTGTAGTGCTAGGTAGTCCTTTGTGGGTTTGTTCAAAGTTCAGTAAGGTTCAGTTCTGTATATTTACCAAAGTTCAGTAAAGCTTTTCAGCTATGCCTGGCTTTGCCACTAAAATTATTAGAAGTCACAGGACTTTTGTATTATCACAGAGCTTTATATATAGAGTAAACCCTTTTATAATATGTGAGCTTTTGGAGTTTAAGAGAAATAGAGAAACAGAGATAGGTACATTTCCAGATTCTTACCTCCTCAGAAGTATTAGAAGATCTTTTTCGGAGATAAATGTTGGAATTAGTGTCACTGCTTCTGAAATGTACATAAAAGTAGTTTTTAGATTCATAAAGCAAAGTTTTGGTGTGACTTCAAAGAGAGCCACTGCAATTGCACATGCTAGTTTTAAGCTATGCAAAACCACAAATATGCATTGTTGTATGTATTAGAATATGGACTGGAATTTATCAGCAGCATTATAAAAAACAGCTTGGGGCAAAATCTGACCCATGCTAACAAATCCATATGCTCAAATTGGAATCTTTTCTGAAAAAGGCTGTCGAATAGGGTTTTTGCACCTCTGACATCACTGACAGTTAAGTGAGAGTATACCACAGGTTTTATGGCTATCTATGTAAGTAAAAGACAGACCTTTCAGGGAACAGAAAGCTTGAAGGAGACAATGGGTTTTTCTAAACAAACTCTTTCAAATTCATTAGAGTGCTATAGTGATAAGCATCAACAAATTACAGTTCACGTCCCACTTAAATACATTACCTAAGAACTAAATTAGAACATAAGATGGAACAGAAATGGAGTAAAATTAGCTGAGTGTCTCTGTCCTGGATCTGGGTGGGTTGCAGTTAACTTTCCCTATAGCAGCCCCTATAGTGCTGGGCTTTGTATTTGTAGCTGCAGTGGTGCTGGTAACACACCAGTGTTCTGTCTATTGCTGAGCAGTGCTCGCACAGCACCAAGGCTGTCTCCGACCCCCGCCCCAAAGGCCAGTAGGCTGGGGCTGGGCAAGAGGTTGGGGAGGGGAATAACCAGGACAGCTGACCCAAAGTGACCAAAGGGATATTCCATACCATATGATGTTGTGCTTAGTGATAAAAGCTAAGAGGAAGGAGGAAGCTGGCAGGGACACATACACACACACACTCGTTATTGAGACATTTGTCTTTTGAAGCAACCACTATGCCTGCTGAGGCCCTACTTCCCAGGAAGTGACGGGATGTCGCCTGCTGGTAGGAAGTTTAGAATACATCTGGCTTATTTTTCTTTATTTATTTTTTCTCCTTTTGGATTGCTTCCACACGTGGCCTTTGCCTTTATTCATTAAACTGTCTTTACCTCCACCCATGAGTTTTTCATCTTATTTTCTCCCTCCATCCTGCTGAGGATGGGAATGAGAGAGCAGCAATGTCAAATCAAGTCCCATTGGTAGAAAATCACTTGACATGTTTAAGATAAGCACAGGAAGAAGCCAATGAGTCCTAGAATACTGCTCCTAAAAGATGCCTACAAGGGCATACTTCACCAGACCAGGCACCCATACCAGTTAGGTGTATTGAAGACAAAGTTAAAGCGAAATACCTGGTAAATTCCTGACAATCAGCCATTTCTTCCAGTTCGTCTCGTGACAGAGTAGTCGTGACAACTTCTGAGATCTGCAAGTCTTCTGCTTTGATCATATGTTTCCCTTCTTCCTCCCTGTTACTCCATTTTTCTGGTCTTTCCATGGCTATTGGTAAATCCACTAAATCTTCTATTACAGCCTGTTGAAATTAAGAAATATTTTGCGTTAGACAACGTGACTGATTCCCCACCCTTCCAAATATCTTAGTGGTGCAGCCTACTCGGATGCTAAATGGCATGTAGTATGAGACTGAAAGTCTCACTAAAGAGAAAGCAACTCATTTCTTGAAAAATATTTTGGATACACTGAGCTATAACGTACCGTACCATCAGTTCAGTGTACATACAATTAGTTGTCAGTTCTTTTTACATAAGAAGTCATGACATGACATGGCTCTTTGAAGTAATAGCTAAGACTTTTTTTAATTTACCCCCAATTAGATTTTGAAGCCAACAGCAAATTGGCTTCATCACTCTAGTGAGTGTCAGGACCAAAACATGGCCAAGCAACTTGTCTAGGCAACATGTAGAGGAACGTTAAGTGGACACTCATTCCTGAAAACACTGTCTAAAATTACTGTGCTGAAAAATGTGTAAGAATTCAGAATCAGCGTCTGTAAGAAGAGATGCAGTAACAAATTGCCTAAATCCAACACGTAGAATAATTACCAAAAATCCCCCCTCTTTCTCCTCCTCCAGAGTACACAAGCCTTCATTTTACCCACATAATTCATCCTACTCAAACTGGTTTAAGTTTTTGTAGGCAAACTTATTTGGATTCAGACAAAAATTACCTTTGCCTATATCCTTTCTATATCAGCAATACTACTTTCTGTTCATCTCATTACAAACCATTAAAAATACCCTCTGTGATAATCTTTTATGCCTAGAGATTATACAGAGGCCTCACACTACTTTAAAATGTAATTAGAATCCATGTTTTGCACTACTATTAGTATTAGGGTTTATTCTCTCTTTTAACGTCAGATCTTCTCAGGGATCTGCAATTCCATTTATTCCAGTAGAGGGCTGTGGCAAACAGTGTTACCAGACAGGAAACCAAGTACATCTCACATATTTATCCAAAACATTGCAAAACGAAAGCAAATGAAAACCACCAAGGTCAGATGCTAATGCCCCATATATGCACAAAGAAATGCTGGTAATAAAATAATAAGGTACCTCAGGACGCTGTGGAATAGTGGAATCTTGATGGTTGGTGGCGTTTTTGCCATCTTCTTCAGTTTCTAATTCTTCTACTAGTAATGGCACTTCTTTCTCATCGGAAGAATTCATGTGACTGTTAGTATCTCTTGTTTCCTTCTTGCTGCTCTCAGTATCCATATCTGATAGAGGCAAACCTAGCTTATTCCCTAAGTCTGGCTCTGGAGCATCTTCCCTGTGGCTCTGTTCTGGTAAGCCCTTCTCATGTAAAACATCTGTTCCTGTTTCAGAAGAAGCTTTGTCATTTCCAGTATCATAACCTGCAATACAAGGCTCAAGGTAAGCGTCCAAAACTGCTGATATTGGAACATTATAATGTGGATAATAAAAGAGGTCATGGGGTATTACAGATACTTTCGAAGAACTGGGTAGCGCTTCAGCTGAAGACTCAACTTCATCACAGCTGTCCAGGTCCTCTAGATTTTTAGACACATCTGAGAGAGAGTCATCAGATGTTTCATGCTGTGTAGATAGTTCCTGGCTTTTGAGGTCAGAACCATTCATTGAACAGTGGTTAGTTTCTGCTGTCTCAAAGACAGGTGATGGCTTTGCATCTTCGTTTTGTGGAAGTTTCACAATTTCCTCATTTAGAAGATGAAGAACATACTTATGTGTATCTTCTTGTTTTGAGATAACTTCTGGTAAAAGAATTGAAGTTTGGGGTTTGCTCTCTTCTACTTTATTTATAGATTCATCTGTAAGTATGCCCGAAGTCCAGGATAATGGACTCAAAGAAGAAGTATTGGCTGAAAGGCTCTTAGTTTCATTGTCATATTCAGTAGAGGTTTCTTTAGTTAATTCTTCAGAGTAGTCTTCAAAAGAGTCAGCAGAATTTTTCTGACCTGTCAGAGCAGCTGGAGAAGGGTCATCGTTCTGTTTCAGTGGATCATCAGATATGCCGCCTTCACCTGGCATGAATTTATCACTTAGAACCTCCCAGGAGGAACTGGACTCAAAACTGACAGACCCTGTAATTTTCAGAGAGGTTGGCCTCTGAGGCTCCTCTTCAGACCTTTCCTGTGAATCACCTAATGCTTGACTCCACTTCCCATTACATTTTTCAGGAACAGTTTCTGACGGGATTCTCTCAATGGTGTCATGAATATGGACCTTTGGAGGGGCAGGATGACTCCTTTCGTGATTAACAGTATACATGCTTTCTTCACTTTCACTTAAAATCAAGATTTTGCCTTCCTTTTCTGAAGGTGTGTCTTTGATGTGGACATACGTGGACTCAATTGGAAGCTCCTTGTCAGGATCTGTAAAGTCTTCCTATAAGTGATGATACACCATTAAAAGACAAATCATACCTCAGATACCTTTTACTTTTCCCAAACACTGCAGAAAGAATAACTGCCTAGCCCACCACCTCATCACCTCGTCAATGGCCAATTAATGACTCACTTATTTTGGAAGTAGGGAAACCAATTTGGCAAGTCAGGTGAGTTGAACAAAGCTCAACATCAAGAAGCCACCTGTGCGGGAAGATTAGCATGCAGACAAGCCTACTCCTCAGTTGTTAGTGTATTCATCTCTCCCTGCTGCACCTGTGGAGGCAACTGACTTGGTTTTTTGATGCAATCCCAAGCCCTGGGAATAAAATAAATCTAAGAAGTCCACTAAATCCACTGTGAAACATACCAATATACTAGATTATTCCATTCCAACACAGTGGCTTTTTGTTTGTCCTCTAAAATGTCCACAAGTCTTAATACCAACAAATATTATTACTCATCTAATCTAATAAGAATAATAACATTATTATGATAATTCTAATTCCAGTTTCTCTAGTAATGCCCACCAATTTTATAAGCTACAAAATACATACCAACTGAAACCTTCAATTAAGAGATGAGAAAATGCCTTTCATGTGGGAACCATCATTTCATGGACTCTAGCACAAAACTTACTCAGATACTCAAGGGACACCGAGTCCCTTTGGAAGCCCTTGCAAACCAGGACTGTGTTGAACTAGGTTTGTCTGGAAGTACGAGCAGCCTCCAGAACAGTTTTTCAACTTACATAGATTTCTTCTCCAGTTCCTGGGACTTCCCATTTTTCCTGGAGTTTTCTGACTCCTATCCTTTAATTCCTCTATAAATTTATCCTCTGTTTCTCCAAAAGACCTTTGTCAACCCCTGACACTGTCAGTCCCTACTTACTCCTCAATTCTTTATGTTTGATAAAACCTGCACTAAAGTCCTGGTCTTTGAAGCTGTAGTTTATTTCATGCTTACAATGAGAGATTTTGCCTGCTGCACTGACAAGATTCAACCTCTAGTATCTTGCATCTGATACAGCATCTGCTAAATTCAGGTTGATTGTGGCCCTCAAACTTGAGAAGACAGAAGTCAAAATGAATTTCTAAGTCCACTGAATCATCATAGGTGAAGAGATAAAATTCAGCCTTATTCTGAGACTAATATAGCAAAGTAGTAAGCAGTTCTAACCTCTGAAAGTTATAACTGGATGTGAATGTTTAAAAAGCACAAGTCTACCTAAAGCATTTTAGCAACTGCTAGTGAAAGCCCATTAAACTGACTTAAAAAAAATGTGAAAAATTAAAACTGAGTTTGTGGATTATTTTACATTGCTTAGAAAGAAACCTAGAAGATAAATACAGCAAGATCTGCCTTTATTACGTACACTGCAGCAAATTAAAACAATGACATGACGCAGGAGTAAACACTTACCCCTTCCAGCTCTGGGAAGTGTTCCAGAAACTGTGCCACGTACGTCACAATTGACTGTTCATCGGGTGATTCCACCATGATATCTATGGAGACAGACGCAAGGGACTTGAGCACACGTGGCTTTAAAACGCTCTTGCAGAGGAACTGACCGTCAGGTATTTATCCTGCGTTTATGATGAAATAACAGCTACAAATGCTCTTCTTTGTCTGACAGATCAGAAAGGGCAGAATCCTTTTCACTGTTGGTGGCACTTGAAAGAGTTCTTAACATCTTACTGACATGATTTTTTTCCTATTTCCAAGCACATACCGAACCCCGATCAGCGTCCCTTTTCATCTACCCTCGTACTGTCATTTGTGTTGTTGTCGTTAGACAGGGATCTTGCTGAGTGACAGCACAGAGGTAGATGTTTCACAGGATGGCCCAGTCTTCTAACAGGTGACCCAGGAAAGCACAAGTAACCAATCTGTGTTTTCTATCATAAAATCAAGGCCTAACACCTGTCCAGTAGAACTCAGTAAAAAATACTGCAAGAAGTTCCATTTATATACATACATTTTTACACACACACACATGCTTATGTTTACATATATAAATATGTGTGTGTGTATGCATTGTGAAGGAAAAAATGGGAGATGCACATACATTTTGAATAGGTATCTACCCCTTTTCCTGGTGTGGCAGACTCGCACACTTCATCCTGGAGTGAGCCCTAGTCTCTGCAGCCTGTAGGCATTCTGAAATGGTGCTACTGCATTGAGACACCTCCCAGCACAACAGGGTGGTGGCTAGTGCCCGCTAGTCATGCAGATGTCACCTAGCATCTAAACACTAACCAGGACCCGTGCACACAGCTAAAACTACGGTAAGATCTCTGCCCCCAAGAATGACAGATATGACCGGAAGCATACGACTACAAGCCACTGACCAATTAATTTTGATTTTTCTTATCAATCAGCCCAACACACTGATCACAGCAACAGCCTCATCACTAGGAGGTTTTTGGTAGGTATCACAATGCAATATTCATGAATTCATTAGAGTTTGAATGTTACCCAACAAAGCTGATGTAGGCGTTTTACCTTCTGGTTCTAGGAGCCGAGGAACACCCAGCTTGTTTTGTGCTATGCTGAAAGCATCCTCCAGGTTTTCTCGAGCCGATTTCTCCAGTGCTTGCTTCATGTCTACCAAAGTACAGTCTATTGCTTTTATGATAGCTAAGAAAGCGAGGCCACTCCTCCAACTGCTGGCAAAGTCCTGAACTGCAACACCGTACCTGAACAGAATTACACACAGTTTACATGGGTGGCTGTGTTACAAAACCCAAAGGAAAGGCATCATCATTTTCAAGGACTCCCGAAAGTTCAAAGTAAGGTTGCAGAGTTGCACTAGTCACATCTCAGATACTTTTGGATTTTAAAATGCACATAATTCGTCCATAAAACACAAGGATTCACAAACTGGAGTGGTGTAGCTAACAGCTGACATCAACCTGCTTGTAGGAAGTAGTTAGTAAAAACAAAGCCCTCAAGAACTCAGCAACCACATTTAACATTCACAAAACCAAACGTCTCTCTGATTCCTGCTTCTGTTGCTCTCCAGCATTTTAATGCCATAGCTTGGGAAGGCTGCCAAGACTTAAGTATTTAAAAACATAAGCACAAATTATTCACATTCCTGTGTACTGGGCCTTCTATAGCAGAAAATTGTGCTTTGCCAAATGCAAATGGTGTTGGTATATGTATAAACCACAAGTGTGTTAGATGCCCAATATCAAACTTGCAATGAAATACAGCCCCAGGATGGAAAATTCTGCACAGGTCATTGGATAACAGGATTTACATTTTTAATAATGTAATTGCAAGAACAATTTTCTCCTATTAGATGTTTTCACTTTGAACTCTTTGACTACATGGAAAGGCCATGGCCTTTACTTCTCTGGTCCTCACTTTACTTGTACCACCTCGCTGGTAATGACACTCGCAGCATTATTTGGGGACTAAAGCTGTGTTTCCTCTACGGGCTGTACTGGCAGCAGTGAACTGCGGATCTCAATGGGACAAGTTTACCTACACAACAAGCACCCTTAGCTTCACTGCAGACAGCCAAGGGATGATGTGGCCCACAGGACCAAGTATTTAAGATGTAGATTTTTATCTTCAACACAAAATCTCAATGTGTTCACAGGCAGATCTGGATATATAAAACCATCGATAGACAAAAATGCCAAAAACTCAGCTATCCAACTTGTTTAAATGTTTAGAATCATAGAATCACAGAATGGTTAGGGATGGGAGGGACCAATCCAGTTCCAACCCCCCTGCCATGGGCAGGGACCCCTTCCACTAGACCAGGTTGCTCAAAGCCTGGCCTTGAACACTTCCAGGGATGGGACATCCACAGCTTCTCTGGGCAACCTGTTCCAGTGCCTCACCACCCTCTCTGGGAAGAAATTATTCTTGATATCTAATCTAAATGCCCTCCTTAAAACTCTCTGCTCTCTTTTAAACCCTCTGGCAGTCATTGCTTCAGATAACAACGTATGTAAAATACACTCCAAGCATTTACACGTGCACTAGCATCTTACACTGAAGTTTTTTAATCCAACAGTAACTCTGACAGGTTAAAGCTTTACTAGACAAAATGCTTTGGCAAAAGAACTACTTCTTTATTAAAGAGGAGAGAGATGGGTTGAGCAATGGAAATGGATCCTAATCTTACAAGTTCATGAGAAGCAGCCTAAGAGTCACCCCATTCCCCTCTTTAATTCTGAGGAAGGTGGGACACAGTATGGACTCTCTCCTTCCAGGCACTCTGCAGCACACAGAGAAGTTCCCTCAGGGCTGCTGCTTAATTTAAGAGGCTGTTCCTAAAGTCCTTCAATACATTTACCTTTTCAGTTCACGCCTTGTTTATGCCTACCCTTTAACTGGCAAAGATATCAAACAGACTGCACAAAGGCCAGGGGGTAGGGGAAGGAGGGGACGATCCTGTTTTATGCAGCTCCAAGCAGATCGGCGCAAGTTAACATTTAATGCTCAAATCATGAAGCCAGCAATGCACACGGCTTCAAGGTCAGACGGCGGCTGCAGACACGTGGCCATCGTGATCAACCCCCTGCAGACACCGTCCGCCTGCACACTCAGAGAGCGGAAGCCACGGCGCACGGTGCACACCCACGGGGCAGGAGGCAGGGAAGAGATTCAGCAGCGAAAGTGCAGGGGGCAAAACGCGGTTCTCCATGAGGGTTCATTAGCTTACTTTCTGGTTTTCCTCTGAACCCAGATTAGAAGGGCTCTGATGGCTTTCCGCTGATCCTTCACCGTAATGGACACGCTTCTCTCCACGTTGGGAGTGCTGGGGTGGGACGTGTCTGACTCGGGACCACTGGGCCCGGAGGACAGGCTGGAGGAGGAGGAGTTCCTGTTGAGGTTGCCTGTCAGCTCCTTAATCTATAAAAGAAGCCGAAACACACAGTGCTGTGTTTAACACTGGCTGCACAGAGAACTCGGTGTTTGTTTTCATGCAAACTTAAGGATAACAGCGTCACAACTGAATTTCAAGAGGTAATTATAGGCCTGTATTGCACAGGAGTGACAGCCGGCAGCAGTCCAGCTGGCAGCTGCAGGAACAGGCAGGGCAAGGTATCGGCTACGGCTGAACTCCCCATCTGCACTGGACAAAAGGTAAAGAAACACGTACTTGAAAGAAAAGCTAGTGTAACTGAAATCTTCCTCTTCACAGGACTTGCCTGAGTGAAATATTTTTAGTCAAGAAATGGTGACCTGCAGCAGCACTCCTGTCCTTGGTCAGCACAGATATTGCAGTCCAAATTATCTACTCTGCTGCTTCTGAGTCCCCCATGTCCTCTGCTGCTGTCAGGGTGACAGATTCTGCTCGCACCATCTCTGCCCGGTGCTGCGCACCACTGTTCAGCTGGAGGAGCTCAGCCAGGGAGAGAAATCCCAGTGCAACTTCGAGATTATTTTTTAAACCTGTAGCCATTTTAGAAATGAGTCCAAGAGAATGAAAGAGCCCCCCAGCCTTAGGAGAGTTGCAGAAACCCTCCCTCCATCTCTCTCTGTTCATCAGAACTTGGTATTGTCTGCAAGGACATTTTCAAAATATTTGTAGATTAGGGAGCAGTTTTAATCTAAGCCTGGGGCTAAATCAATTTTCAGGCTCAAATCAATTTTATCAGTTCCAGGCCCTTTAAGATCTTTCATTTGGCCCTCTACATCAGTCGTGAATTTTTGCCATGTTGAGTAAGTCTCTGGAGATCAGTGATTCTACATGGAATTTCCCACCACGCTGGACCAAACCCAGAAAAGGTTATTGAAAATAAACTGTGACCTGGAACCAAACCCAAAACATTGGTTCAGGTCCAGGGAATCTGGAGCAGAACCCTGAGAAGGCACAGGAGAGAAGGGAAAGTAGTAATCTGAAGCTCTAATTCTGGTCCAAGTCAAATGAGGGCTTAAATTGTCTACTATTTACACCGAAATAGGTCCAATGAAGTAAAGTGAAAGCAGCTGCAGGTATAAAATTAGTGTATATTAGGAGGAAAAAGCTCAAGTTTAGTATGCTTTATTATGTTCTTTAGGATTAAAAATCAATTTAAAAGTCAGTATATAGCTGGAACACATTGATACCATGAAGATCGTTCACTTAAGATTAAAGTATTCGGGTTTTATTACCTGAAAAAACAAGATTATATTCCATATTAGTCCAAGTACCAGAGAGGAATTTCCATCTGCTATTTCTGCTGCATCAATGCTAACGAGCTTTACCTGTAGAAGAGATCATCCATTCAGAGGCAAATTCAAAGCAGCAAGGAAAACACAAAAAATGCCGTGAGACTACTGTATGTGTCCAGAACACTGCTGCCACTGCCTGGCCAGCCAAAAAGCAAGACTGGAATCTTGTGTTATATATAATTTGCTCTGATCACAACCACCCTACCCACTGACCTCTTATCTCAAGCCCCCAGCATAGTCGGCAGAACAGAAGTGAGCCCAGTTCTGCGTCCTCAGGACCACAAATCTATTTCCTCCATACAAAATTGGAACAAGATGGTGCCCCCTCCAGTGGATCCTATTCTTAGAGTCACTTCTTGTACAAAAATTAAAATCCTAGTAAGATCAGCTTACTCCTGTTTCAGTAGGCATCTCCTTTCTCCTTGCTTCTCTCACCTTACACAGCTTGTCACAGAGTTCTGATTAAATCAGTTTGCAAGGGATAGAGTTGCCTAATCCAAGCAAACTCGACTTTCCCACACTGAGGTTTTTTCCACCTGGTAACACCAGGATGTTATTCTCTTTGACAACACAGACTTGGTTTTGGCAAAGGTCATGGAGGAGGGAGGAAGCAAGGAAGTTGTCAGTACTGCACATGGCACCCAGACTGAATTAAGGCCCAGCATACAGCCCATTTATCACTTAGAAATCCTGTACACAATGAATCATTTAACAGCGCTTTACCCAGATGTCCCAGTTCCAAAGAATCGTACGCCGATGGGTTCCGCCCGCTGCGGTTTCATATCTAACCCCGAAACTCTTGGCAGCCAAGGCATGTCGCCAACACTTTCACCACCACCCTTTACTAACCGGTCTGGTTAAACTGAAAAAAGGAAAGCAAAGTAGCTTTTTATCTACTGTGGTTTGCCCAACAGTTTTTAATCCTAGCAAGAAGATACCTCTAGCTGTCATATGTCAAGGCTCAGATTTCTTGCTAGCTCCAAGGTATTTGGCACAGGAAAACCTTGAAGATCTAGTGCATTTTAACAGCAGTTTCTCCAAAATTTAACGTTAGACTGCTCTCGGCATCAGCTCTGTCCTCTTACTGTTGCTTATGTTCATCACCCAGCCCAGTAGAGATACCCAGGTAGAAGATACTGGCTGCTTACTCTTAAGGAAACAAGAAATCCATGGAAAACTAGGTGTTTTAGCACTACTCATTAAAAGGTTGCCTGTGTCCAAGGCTCCTTCTGTGGCCTTGCTCACTGAGTTTCTAGGTTGTGGCCTAGCAAGGTCCTGGCAACCGGACATGTGTCAGCTGCAGTTCTGCAATGGGCTGATACCAACAGAGAGGAAAAAATCTCATCTGCCAGTAGGCCTTGCCTGGATTTGGGTAGCAAGCATCAATTGGGAAACTGTGAAGAAATCTGCGAACTTGTGAAACATTTCTTAGCAGTTCTGTAGCAGGACATGTAGACAGGCACATTTAGGGCCAGAGCAGCCCCTACTGGTGGACTTCTCAAAAGGAGACTGGAACACCTGGAAGTTACTGGACAACTTCTTGACCTTTCTCCTGGGGAAAAAGGTAAAGGAGGTTAAACCTCCCACACCTACCAGGTCATAAGAGATCCACCATCGCATCAAATCATGCTCATTCCTGCGCTGGGGTCGCAGTGAGTCTCCTGCATGAGTGACACTGCTGCAGGATCTCTGGAGCAAGGGCTAAGCTCATTGCAGGGAAGCAGCAAAGTGGCATCAGTTGCTGTTATGGCATCCCACGCAAGGCACGGCTTTGCCCCTGTGCACATACCAGATCCCTCTTCACCCACAGAGTCTAAACCCTGTAGAGTACTTGCACCATGGAATCAATAGGATCATTGTATTTTCTTCCCAGATGGTATAGAGGGGAAGTTACAACACTTTATTTCAGATGCTAGATGAAAAAATCTTTCAGTACAGCAAGAATGCTGCAGTCCTCTATGGGACATCGGCAGGTATTAGTTTTCTCTTTCTGAAAGATCTGGGTGTGCCAGCTATATGAGTTGGGATATGGCTGGGACTTCCCTTGACAGCATTAGTTCTCAACACTTCTCAAGAGTAGAGAGTTTTCAAGGCAGGGGCCACATCCCTAGGGCTCTGGAATAAAGCCTTAAAGGGAGAAAATAAAAAAGATAAAAAGGATTGAATCAGTTCAAGCAACAGGGTCTGCTCTTCCATGGTCACTTAAAACTTCAGGAAGGGATGTTGCAGTATTGACAAACTGACTATGAGGGCAGTTATATCCTTGTAAGGTTTTGAATCTTGGAATTACATATTTATGTTACGTCCCCAGATTTAATTTTCTCTTGCCTTTAACTCACAATCGGCTGCTGCTGCAGTTTACTAGATAAATACGTGACTTTTAATACTAGAAGTACTTCTGGTGAAAGGAAGGAAAGTCATCTGCCGTCAGCACAACTGAAGTAATGCCACTAAGATCCAGTTCATAAAGATTACTTGCACTTCTTTCTATTTTCTTTTAATATTGAATTCATGATCCTTTAATCCTGTTGAACTTTTACATTATAAAATGAACAAATAACCCTTGTTTTAGACTCTGTAGGTGTTCTCGTGCATTTTTATGTGGCTTCTCAGCCTTGCTGCCAAGGTAAGTCACAGTGCCTTTAAGCAGTGCATTCCTCTCTGTGCATGCAGTGCCATAGAGTAGTTACAACAATCACCATTTGCAACATACATCAAGAGGAGATATTAAGACCAGCCTTTGGAAATACTCACATTACTGTCTTCCAAGAACTTAAGGGCTTTGGCTATGTTGTTCAAGCGAAAAATGCGATGGGTTGATGATTTGTACTCGTGCATCTAGAAAAAATAAGAGCCACACTGTTTTTAAAAATGGTGGGATTGTTTACCACGTCATACAAAGCTTCAAAAACCTACAGAGGCAAAATAAAGCTAAGGAAATCCACCTAAATAAAATCATTGCCATCTTTGTTGATCAGTAAAGTGCTTCAACAACATGATCTGCCTTTGCTGTAGCAAAACAGGGTTAGCAACCAGCTTTCCTGCTCTCCAGATGTACTCACTCTCTTGGACCTGCCACGTTGATTATTTATGTAATCACTCCCCAACGATGTTCAGTCATAGGCTCAAATTTACCTGAAAATTTGCAAGAATAGATTTATTTTTCCTTGAATTAAATTAAATGATCCTAATTAGGAACTGTGAACAGTTTTCAGAGTAGGCAGGTGGGAGGTAGAAGCCTTCATTTTGGCAGAAATGAAACAGATGTGTTGCCTGCCTGTCTCCCTGCAATTCCACTTTGGCACACCGTTGTTATCACTTATACACAGGAACACCTAACTGCCAGTGCCACCAGTCTGGCCAGCTGACCTTACCTCCTTCCTTGCCCTTCTCCCTGACCTCTCAGAGCATAGCCTAGGGTTTATCGTGATGTGTTTCCCCCTTTGATTCCTTTCCAGCCTGGTTCTGGACAAGAATATTAAAAAACAGGCGGTTCTGAATGTGTGACTGTAATGGCCATTCATGCTGCAGTGTGTAGCTGGTTCCACTGCTACAGAACATCACCAGGTGATTCCAAGTGCATCTGCAGTGCTGGGAGGGCTGCGGAACCGGTCTCTCCTCTTACCCCAGTGTGATGCCCACATAGAAGAGAGTGCTTGCTGACAAGGTTGATGCAGAAAGAAAACGTTAAAGCTGACTACAGTCGGTCATTTATATTTGCACTGGGTGTTTCCATTTCTGGTATGTGAAGCTTTACACAGCTCTTACAAAAAAAGGAGGAGAGAAAGAGATTCTGATAAGCGAAACTTTGCCCTTCTTTCTGAGATCATGTCAGTCAGACAATGAAACCCGAGCCAGGATACCAGAACTAAACTCACAATCAAGCATCAGCAGACCTACAGAGTGTCCTAATGATCTCAGACAAAACAGAAGCAGAATTTATGGGTTAAAAAAATAATACAACAAATATATCTTTTCTTGGTAATGACACTTGGACGATCTCCAAATGGAAGAGAGCATTAATGATTAATGCATTAATGTTTTAAAGCCTTAAAAAACCTCAGGGGTAGGAACATTCACAATGATCACACACCATTTACACCACAGTTACTTATTTCCTTGGAATCTAAGTTACAATTCAGGCCATACGCCTGTAGCATAAGGAAATTACAATGAAGTTGCTGAAATATTTATTACTATACCCAAGACGTGGGAAAAATTCACCCTTATTCCTTGGATATCCATATATTGTTGCATGTGATACAGAGCTTCATACATATGGAGGTTTCTCCCACTTGTATACCTACCAGCTTTTGTCCTGACAGGACTTCCAGTAGTGCCATCAAGATTTTGCCATCTTGTATGTCAAGAAACAAGTCTTTCACTTTCAGAGGAGGCTTGCACTGTGAAGATAAGAGACCAGGTAGCTTCTAAAGCAGTACTGCTTGGTACATCACCATGAGTTCAGAGAGTAAGGAGAAGAATTTTACAAGACAGAGATACCAGAAATAAATCTTAGCCTTCAGGAAGAAAGAGTCATAAAATCACAGAATCATTTGGTTAGAAGGGACCTTAAAGACCATCTAGTCCCACCCCCCCTGCCATGGGCAGGGACCCCTTCCACTAGACCAGGTTGCTCAAAGCCTCATCCAGCCTGGCCTTGAACAGTTCCAGGGATGGGGCATCCACAGCTTCTCTGGGCAACCTGTTCCAGTGCCTCACCACCCTCCCCGTGAAGAATTTCTTCCTGATATCTAATCTTAACCTCCCCACTTTCAATTTAAGCCTATTACCCCTTGTCCTGTCAGTACAAGCCTTTGTAAAAAGTTCCCTTCCAGTTTCCTAGCAGGCCCCTTCAGGTGCTGGAAGGTGCTGGAGCAGCGGTGTTCCAGCCCTCTGAGCATCTTCGTGGCCTCCTCTGGACTCGCTCCAAGTGCTCAATATCCTTCTGATATTGAGGGCTCCAGAGCTGGATGCAGTACTCCAGGTGGGGTCTCACCAGAGCAGAGTAGAGGGGCAGAATCACCTCCCTTGACCTGCTGGCCACACTTCTCTGGATACAGCCCAGGCTACGGTTGGCTTTCTGGGCTGCCAGCGCACACTGCCGGCTCATGTTCAGCTTTTCATCCACCAGTACCCCCAAGTCCTTCTCCTCGGAGCTGCTCTCTATCCACTCTCCACCCAGCCTGTACTTGTGCTTGGGATTGCCCCAACCCAGGTGCAGGACCTTGCACTTGGCCTTGTTGAACTCCATGAGGTTGGCAGTGCCCCACCTCTCCAGCCTGTCCAGGTCCCTCTGGATGGCATCCCTTCCCTCCAGCGTGTCGACCCCACCACACAGCTTGGTGTCGTCAGCAAACTTGCTGAGGGTGCACTCAATGCCATCATCCATGTCACTAATGATGTCCTAATAATGCCTGAGCTAAACCTGAGACATAGTACTCATGTAACTGAGATCAGACAAGAACTTATTCTAGATCTCCCATAACAGAATCTCACCCTAAATACTCTGCCTAGGAAGAAACCACACAAGAGTTGGGTGCTGATCCCTCAGACTAAGACAAGTCCAGCAGAAGCAACTCCCACTTTATGCCCAAAATAAGCTCACAATCTAGCCAGGCTGATGCCCTGTCTCCTCTGTAAGATTCCTGGTGGTGCCACTGTGTTTCCCAGTATTTTTGAAGTACTTTAAATAGCAACTTCTTGTATTGTGTCTCTTCTCAGCAAAATCCTCCGAGGAGAACCATCTCCTCACTTCACCGAGGTGTCTGATGGTGTGCGCTGTGAGGCACACAGCCAAGCCAGCGCAGCCCTGAGGCGTAGTCTCAGCTGCAGCAATTATGCTCTGTCCAGGTGTCACTCACTCAGTGTCCCTAAAGAGCCAAATCTTTTTATCTTTGGCTGGGCAATGCACGACTCTTCGATTAAGCACTGCTTCTGGCAAACGGAGACCATACATTTTTGTTACTAGCCTTTAACCTACAGTACTAAACAATGCTCCACACTAAAAGTAATAAAATATCATTCATTTCAACATTAAATGACCCATCTGAAAGCCTCAAACCCAAACCTTTTTTATTCTTTCATTACTTAAGACAAAAACCACTTGAACCCAGCAGATTCAGGCTACTCCCAGTTATCCCATGACCAGGAGAGCCACCTCGCAAAAGCTGAGCCAAATGAGACAGTCTGCTCCAAAAGGAGACACACCACACCGTAAATTTCCTGAAAAAGTACAAGAAGAAGACCTCACCGATTCCCTTAAAAGAATGAAGCCACTCTGCAAGAAGTGCTTCTTTGAGGACAGTGGCAGAAGCCACCTTTCTCAGTGGGTGTCCTCAGGGAATCACCTGTAATTAGAAGAGAGCTTTGGCGACGCTCTCTTTATTTACAGGGTATGTTTATTATGCCACTTCCAGGAAAAACATTAATATAGCAGCAGATAGCGGCAGACTTTTGTCCTTTCTTCAGAAAAGCATTTTTATTTGTTGAATCAGAGAGGAAAAAAATCTGTATGCACTCCAGAGAAAACAGTTCACCTGCCCACAAAGTTTCTAAGACCTCATATGGTTGGCATAGCAGAATTAACAGCACCCTACAGCCTGTTTCATGATCTAATTCCTTCTGTAAATCAAAGACCTTCTCCACAGTCATATATTTGACAACCATTTTTGACAACTTCCAAAATTGCAGTTAGTTTAAACCCCTAGAGCCTGATTCACGAAGGAATCACGTAACACTGTCTTCGTTCTGAGAGACCTTTGGGAGCAATTGCTAGTCAAAACATTTCCAACTAGCCTTGTTGTGATTTTCCACTGAGATTTAAGAGGATCCCTTTATTCCTTCAGCAACACTCGCTGCAGAGTAGTGGACTTAAGCAACTATATAATGTGATGCCTTTCTTCTAAAACCCCTTTGCTTTACTGTGTCTGAAATATGATCACTTTCCAAGAACTACAGGAGCCAGACGGAGAGTCAGCTTGTAGCCCAAACCTAGTCCCAATCTGTCCTTTGTGAAACTTAGCCCCAGGCACTAAAAGCACTGTGAAGCCCAAATTCCAGTCCAATTTAGGACTTATGGTCTAGGTTAGGAAGCTGGTCTCATTCCCTGATCCTGCGCTAAGCATTGCTGCTGTCTCAGTAATACTAAGAAATTTTTTTTCTCCTTTCATCCGCAACAGCAGGAAAATCATTCTCTGGATGGTAGAATGCCCAGGAGAGTTAGTACTTATCTATTACCAATAAGAACAGTAAATGAGGTTTAATAGCCAAATTATGGTGTGATTAAGAAACAATTACATCTTAAAAATATGAAGTGATGTCCAAAAATTAGATCTCTAACATAAAGATCCCATCATACGCTTCCCCCCAAACATGACTGACAAGGAATTAACATTTCCCATTGGCAGATCTGGGATGAAGCCAGGTTCTGAAGAACATCTGTCTTTGGCTGTGATACCTCAGATGTTCGAAATTCCAGTCCAGCGAAGAACAGTCATCAACACCTCAGAGCAGCCTAAACCACATTTGATTTTATGTGGGTATATTCTGTGGGAAAAGTCTAGCCTCATAACAGTCAGTATCATTAAAGATTTAAATGCACCTGAGATGAACTAAAGCCAGCCAAGCATTCATTGTGCCTGAAAAGCAATTTACATTTACCCAGAAACTTGCTTTCACCTTCCTCTCATTCTCTCTGCACACCTCCCTGTATGACCAGAAGTCAGCTTTGTTTCCACATTTTAACTACTTTAAAAATAATTAACTGCAGTCTGTCTATAGTTGTGTCCTTGTATCTCAATATCAAGTCTGTTTATCTGTCTTACCTTTCCCAAGTGTAGGTTTATCCACCTCGTAAAGGTCCTCTTCTGTACATTTTCCCGTTCCACTAGAAATACCAGAAAGAAAAAACAGCACCTAAGTTTCCAGAAGATGGAAAGCTTGTAGGAAATTTCAAAAACCGATGCACAAAAAAGTCAGAGTTCATGAGAAGCCTATCAATAAACCAAACATATTCCAAAGCAGGAGATAAGGTTGAGCTATGGTGTTTTATTCAACTTCTTTGCCTGGACATGAGCTATATACACTTGTCGATGCACTCTAAAGGACGTGGGAAGAAGTCTCCCTTAGCTCTGCAATCTTCAACGCAGCTTCTGAGAGGTGAACATTTATGTGTTGTGCACAGCTCTCCAGTGATGGTAGCCACTGAGCAGACAGCTTGAACCTTCTAAGTCAATTTATATGATTATTCTTCTGACACCCTCATGCAAATCGGGCTAGCGTGGATTCCAATGTACTTACCTGCATGCACGAGGAAACAGGACGGCATTAGCCAGCACAAGAATTTTGTCCTCATTCTTATGAATGGAAAGGCCTCATCAAATCTCATCCTCCCAATCTCCTAATTAGTGCATTTAAAGTCAAAATTCCAAGTCCCTACATTGAAGCATTGATTTATTTATATTGCAATAAGATGAGGACTGCTTGTTCAGAAGTGCTGTATGCTAGGTGCTGTAAAAACAGCTCTTGGGCTAGCTGAAGAGTTTTTAATCACATCTGCCATTTCCTGAATCCATTTCCATAGTGAACTACAGCAAAAGTGTAAGGGGAATCATATTACTGACTAACTCCCATTTACCTTCTAATATAAAAAAGCAAACCATATATTTAATATAAATGAAGCAGACTGACAAAGTAATATTTCATTTTAGACAATTGTTCTCAAGTGGTTCTCAAATTTCACTTGAATTAAGGAAACCTGGCAATTTATGAACAAAAAATATTACAACTAGTTATATGCTGTATTTCAATTTACTCATAGAGCATATCAAATATATTTTAAAACCATTTTGTGTTTCTTCAGCCCTACAAAAACAGCTAACGTATCTACTGGGAAATCACATTCTGTAGAACTCTCGTTTGTTTTTATTGGTCAGACTAATTATAGGCTAAGTAGTAGCTTCCGTAAATCAAATTTTAATATTGTTCTTTTTGATCATTTTAACTGAAGGGTCAGCAGCCTCTAATCATGTGTATAATTGTTTTCCTTATTTTGATGTATTAGAACAGAGCTTTCAGCATGAATTACGTGTTACTGACGGCCATTCAGGACTTTTAAGTCCTCTTACTCCTGTAAAACCTGATTTTATGTAAGATTGGTTAAAAAAAAGTCATTACCGCTTAAGTGCTTCAGAAAACATGGAAAATGCCAAACTAATTATTGCTGTTGGCTTTTCTTTTCACATATCTTAGAAGAATGTGCACAGATTTGAAACAGCTCCCTACAAATGAAACTGTAAATTATATTAGAGTTCCAGAATATCTGTAAAAAACCCACAGCATTTATCACCTACAAATCTCAAAGTGCAATAAACCAAGAGACGTGTCACATCTTTCTTGGGCTTCGCTTCCTCCGGCACCTCGACCCCAGGTCTGGCTTTCCGCGCACTCACACATCCAGGGCTGAGCAGCAGAGCTGCTGTGTGCCACCTGGGGTGTAACTCCCATAGCCGACCTGCTAAAATTAACTTCGGAGGGTGGGTGGAGGTTAATGTTAAGCCAGATCTGTTCCCAGATACACTCCTTTTTGTTCAAATGCATGCGTTGGTTCAAGGGGGAAGGCGGAACAGGCGCAGGAGCTAGCAGCAGCCAGCCAGGCCGCCGCTTTGGTAGGCTTGTCTGAAATGCTCAGGAATGCTTGGGTGGGCAGTTTCGGGGAGGACAGCGGACCTTACCAAATGGGCTGGCTCTACAGACTTCCACTGTTGACCCAAATCAAAGAGAAAGCACAGAAGGGTACACAGAAGCAAAAGTGATGGTTTCTGATTCCATCACAGGCTTGGTTTCTTTGTTTCAGGTCCTATTTTTCACCAGTCACTTCAGCAACCTTCATTTTCAGGGTAAATAAAGATGCAGAAGAGAGCTGTGTTTATTTACAGATCATCCATAAATCTGAGCACACACTGGCTCCTAATTTTGCTGCAGAAATTCTGCCACCGATGCAAATTAGAGTTGCACATATGCCTGAAAGGATGGGCAAGCCAAGCTGGTATTACTGCTTCAGGAAGCTCCCACACCGAAAAAAAATAAGCCAGGCAAGTTCAGGAAAGCACTTGCATAGATACACGGCCTTCTGACACTGCTTGGGGAAGGTTTCTGCAGCAGACTCTCACCAGTAAGAACGATGACACCAGAACGGTCTAATGCAATGGTGACTGGGTGGGGGAGAGGAGAGGGGAGGAAATGTGTTTATAAAATCCCTACGGCAGGCAGACTCCTAATGCCGTCCATATGCACGCCAGTAGAGTTAATGGGAAAAGTTCAGCACCGGTATTTACCGATCTGTGCCTTTAACTGTTATTCTTCTCCAGCTTTGTGGACCTCCCAGTTTCGGTACAACCCCTCTTCTCCACAACCTTTTCATTTGAGACGACTGTAGAGACTCTATAAACCTTATAGAGTTTCTATAAATTAAATGGAATCTTTTTTTCTCCTTCGCACCTACTATTGTACAAAAGTGAAGAAAATCATGCAAGTCTAAAGTTTCTGTGCTGATGTATATAGTTTACCAAAACTGCACTGGGTTTACTGGGCAGCTAGAGAGCCATAACACCATTATAAAATAATAATTACACACACCATATGGCAGGCCTGCACACCAATGCTATGCTGGAAAAAAAGAAGGACGCCTGCTGTGAGGGCTGGATTCAAAGATGTAATGCTGGAAGGCAATAAAAAGTTAGAAATTGCCATTTTGGTTCAGCTCAGCTCAGACCTTGACATAAGAGAAAAAAATACAAAAAGAAATCTTGACCACCACACAGAAGCTACGTCTTCCCTACGCTCACAACAGACTCAGCTGCGACACACTTTCACAGCAGGGTCTAAGATGTTGCAGACACGCAGTAGTCGCACCAAAGTACACAGGTAAGGCACTGACGGGCATTAGCTGCAGTAATTTAGAGGAGAAAAAGGCACCTAGAGAAGTGTACTGGTAGGATGCTGAGCCTGTAAGACGTGCAGTTCTTTGCCCCACAGCTGTGTTCTAGAGGACAGCAGAACTTGGCTTAGACACAAGAGCTGCACCCTGGTCATTTTGCGAATAAACATCGACAAAGGTACATATCCTGGTTTGTCGCATCTTATGGCAAAGACGACGAACTTGTCACACAGTAAAACTAAGCTAGTTCAAAAACCACTTGGACAAATTCAACGTTAAGCTGTTACGGACAAGAGAATTCGACTGCTTCCCCTTTGTGGCACCACGTCCTTCCCCACACGCCTAGAAATTCCTCAGGCACTTACTCCTAATGCCATTTCTTCCTCCTTCACATCTCCTCAAAGGTCACTGCCGTTGCAGTAACTACAGAAGCCAAACCCCTAACAACCTCCACGTTCAACAACAAACTGGAGATAGCAACTATTGATTTTCTTTTAAATACTATGTGTACTGCTGTTGCAGAACAAGTTGCAAATAGCCCTCTGAGGCTCACGGCCACGGGGCTGGGCACATGAAGGAGCTCTGAGACGTGGGGGCTGATCTGAGTGGAACACTTGTCAGCGTGTAATTACCTAGCTTCAGAAAACTGCCTGATTTGCATGCACGGATATTACTGCCAAAGCAAAGCAGAAGGTCACTTAAATTTGTTTCCAAAGCTATTAGCATTTCATCCAGGATATCATCATGAGATGACAGTAAAACCTTCACAACAGGCCAAGCTGGCTTTTAGATCCACTTGCAACTTACCTCCAAGACATCTTGTTAATTACTACCTTTGTAACATGCAGAAAAGCCAGCTTCCTCATTTCTACCACAGGTTATAACCTCTACAGATACAAGATAGACCTGCTACTAACATTAAGCAGGTTTTCAAGACAGGAATGGCCATGTTGACCACCTAACTGTGAAGGAGGATGCTGTGACTGCCCTTGGCTTCAGCGGCGACAACCTGCCAGGAGAATCATCCCATATCCACTTCATCAGTAACCAACGGCCACCCAGAACCAGCTCATAACCCATATAGCTCTGGAGGTCACCGAGCGTCTGCCCAAGTCTTAGATCAGGGGAAAATGGCAATTCTTATTAAAACCAAAAGTATGTGGGCAAACGTATGGTATTCAAATACTACAGCCTAACTCCAAAATGAAACGTGGTTCAGACACCCTAAGTCTTGGGAAATGCTAATTTCCCTCCTTCCACCTTCCTCACCCCAAAACCCCAACTCATACAGCCTAGCAATCGATCCGTCGCTAACGAACATGCATTCAACAATCTACTTTTGGACTACCCAAACACCAGGCCGCTAAATAAAACGAGGACTGGATTTTAAGCTGGGCTTCATGGTGTGCCTGCCCTGTGACTCAGCCTTGGTATTGCTGATTATTCGTCAACATACTATCAAATTTGAATACTGTTTTCCTGGCAAACTTCATGAAAGAAGCAAGACTGACATCTTAGAAAATGGATTTTACCTGAAACTGCTCATTTGCTGCCTAGAATGTTCCCAGTCCATGCTACTAGGGAAGACCTTATTGCAGCCTTCCAGTACCTGAAGGGGCTACAAGGAAGCTGGGGGGGACTTTTTACAAGGGCCTGTAGCGACAGGACAAGGGGTAACGGGTACAAATTGAAAACGGGGAGGTTTAGATTGGATATCAGGAAGAAATTCTTCACGGAGAGTGTGGTGAGGCACTGGAACAGGTTGCCCAGAGAAGCTGTGGATGCCCCATCCCTGGAAGTGTTCAAGGCCAGGCTGGATGAGGCTTTGAGCAACCTGGTCTAGTGGAAGGTGTCCCTGCCCATGGCAGGGGGGTTGGAACTGGATGGTCTGTAAGGTCCCTTTCAACCCAAACCGTTCTATGATTCTACTATGTCTCAAACACTGAAAAGCACGCTTCCAGACATGAAAGCCCATGTTGCTTTTCCACATCGCAATGAGGCCGCCAGCAATACCCTTAGCTAAAGAGAACTTCTTAGTTTGTTTTAATTAGGTGGTTTTAATTTTAGCATTGACCCAGACTGACGGCACTGAGTAGCCATCTTGAATTCTGGTGTCAAACCAGCAAAAAGAGGGCAATGTCTGACTAAGATCAAGAAGCTACTGTATGCAATGCAGCTGGGTCAAATGAATCCTAGCACGCTGTTCTACCTTTTCTTTGCCTATGTGCTGGGTTCAGCCAGGAA